AACTAAAAGCCTGCATGCTTCAGAGCCTGCAGTACAGTTAGAAGGATACAGCATACTAGCACAAGAGAAGAGGGAAAGTTGCTGTGTGTAACTTTAATTCACATTTGGTCTAGGCAACTGCATAGACACAAAGGTGCTCTAGAAGTGCTGATTTGCTGTAGTACAATTTTTCTACATGTAGCATAGTTGTGAAGCCTACCTTAAGAGATGGTTTACAATAAATAGTTCCTGTAAGATTCCTTGTGCTGTATAGGAGTACATTAAGAGATGCTCAGTGGAAGCCATCACACACCACTTGGAAAAAGCCAAGTAATAGCTTACCAAGAGCCCTGTATACACCCAGTAATGGGCTTCAATCCTTTTAAAAAAATAAAACCAAATCAAAGTGCACATCCTAGCACATTTTCACTTAGCTTCCTACCCAAAGTAGCTGTAGAACCCTGCTGTAAAATTACTTCTCTTCATCTAGAAGGTCCAAGATATTTTCTCTCAAATTTTGATGCTTATCACCTGCTACTCTTCATAGCTTTTCTCCTTCGAGTGTGCAGAGCTTCCAGTTGAAAAATGTGCCTTTAACTCTGCCCTACTCAGATGTGGTGCGGAGCGTGTTTCTCCCAATCTTTATCCTTTATCCATATCCTTTATATGGAGGACTAATTCTGAAAAAATAAGTTGTCTGAATTTCTGTTACTTCCTTTTTTTTCAAGTCAGGAATTAATTACAAATTCCACAGGCTTCTGAGTAGATGAATTGGACTCCAGGGGTGTACATGAGTTACAACCACTATTAAACACAAGGTGTTTTCTTCCCATCTTTATTACAAAATATACAGTGATCTCCTCGCTGCTTCCATTTAATTGGAGTTTTGCCACCAACTTAAATAGGTAGCTTAGGTCCAAATTCATTAACAGAATGGAAAGATTTACTCCAAATGTGGGATGTAGTAGAAAGATGATTAGAAGCTGAGCAGTTACTTTTAGACGGTGAGCATGCCCTGGCTTGATGAGGTTATTTCCTGAACCTAAACTGTAAACAAGCAACCGTGCAGAGTCGCAAACCTATGTATGGGATGCTGGATGCATCTCTTGGAAATTATGACAAAAGCTAACAATCTTCACCTCGCTGCAGTTGGTGAAACATTTTCCGTGTACTCAACTGGAGCCAGGTTTTTGCTGTAGGTGCTTACTCTGACTTTGCAGGAGTTAATGTACACTGCATAGTAAATTCCCTTGAAAACTGTTTTAGATCCTCTCCTCCCCAGTTCTCCCTTTTCCTTTAGGATAATTGAGTTTTAAAACACTTTCCTAAGCCTTCTTCATCTCCATTCCCGTTTTTAAAATGAGAAACTGAATAGATGTCCCTCCAGCATTCTGCTTGAGCAACACCATTGGCATCACTTTTACACTGTATTAGTCATAATGCACACTAGTATGATGTCTTCCATCAGAATTTCAAAGCACTTAACAAATATTAATTAAGTATTGCGTCTCTGTGAGGTATGTAAGTAATTAATTTTATAAGCCAACGCCACACAAAGGATAGAGAAGGGTGGATTCTCACATTAGGGCATAGCCTCTTACTGGTTTACAGTTATTTTCTTCACGGGTGTCTAGACCTGAAGTAAGTTCCTCACATGGCTTTTGTAATGGCCACAGTAACAGGAACATTTGTGAAGCTGAACTGCAAGACACCTCTCATATTTCCATTATGTGGAGGCATGTCCTCTCAAATTCGCTGTAAAATGGAGTTCTGGTAAATCACGTCAGCAGAGAAGACACATGAAGAAGTTGAGACTTGAGCTCCAGCCCTGCCTTCAGTTCATCAGAACATGCATTCCTGAACTTCTGTTGTCCTATGATGGCTTTGCTACAGGTAGCGAAGGACTTCCTGGATGGTGCAGAAACAGACAGTTTTTGCCTGGAAATCACATTTAGGCAGATTTTGAGGACATCATCAATTTGTCTGGGCTTTCCGGATCTCTGCTAGCTGTAGGGAGCAGACACTTCTGAACTAGTTGCTGCATGTCTGGAAACTCTGGACATCAGCACTGCGAGCGTGTGCTGCAGTTACAGAACATGAAGCAGCCTAGCAGGAGCAGCTCTGTCTCTGTGCTGTGCTGGCCAGCCACAGTAAGTGCAAAACTCTTCAGAAACAGCAGACTTGATGTAGGCATTGTACAGTTACTAAGACTCTGTGCAGTCAGCCCCATGCTTTCATGGGGGAACTACGCAGTTATTTGCATTTAGATTGTACATCCCCTGGCTCTTGGGTGTTCTGCATATGCACATACTTTTTTCTACCCATGAAATCCTCTGCGGACATAGAGGATTCCTACCCATGTAGTTTGCATCCTTATATCCAAGCTCCTCTAAAGCAGCAATGATCAGGACCCATACTTGTTCCATTTCTCCCTTTGATTCCCCCTTCCCTTCTAATGACAAGTCTTTACACTAAGACAGTGCTTCCGTGAGACACCCTGAGACAACTTCACAGTTTGCTGCCGCCAGAAGAGAGAGGTGGCAGTCCCCAGGCCTTTGCCCTCCCAGCAGTCCTTGCTCTTGGTCATCCCTCTGCTTACCTTGCGCTGGTTCTGGCATGTGTTAGATCGCTCCATTAGCCACTTTGACCTATTGGTCTGTAAGAAAAAATAGCAGAAAGATGGATAGCTTTCTCTGGAATAGCGAAGTAAATCAGCTGACTAAATGACAGATACAAGGTAAAGGATCAGAGGAGTACCCGACCTGCTGCGAGTGCAGCTGGGAGACTGGGAGATTGAGAGACTTGACCTTGCGCTTTTGCAACAGTGACTTGTTAGATCAGCTTAGCTGTCTGTGAAGTGGTAGCTTGATTTCTTTCTTTTACAGAGCAGACGCCCTACTTTGCCTCTTTTTCTCTCCCCCGTGTTGTTTCCAGCTATGTCATTCAAGCTGGGGAAGTTTTTGTCACACCACCACATAAGAATCATATTTTTGGAAGGGTTATCAAGGATTTTCTGCATAACCATCTTACAGGCAATTACATATAAACTTTAATATGCTTCTGTGGCCTCAAACCAGTTGGGTTATTTGTTTTTCCCCAGCTATTTGTATATTGGAGGCTAAAAGTGTTGCTATCATCATGTTCAGAAACCTCTATGCTTTTTAAAGAAACTTACTCTGATTTTAAGGTATTCTCAAAAAAAGCTTTGAAGCCCTCGTCTTGCTCCCTTGAACTAGTTTAGAAATTGTACCTAAAGCTAAATACATCTCCCATATTTTGTGGAAACTGCTTTGAAATTAAACATAAATTTGAGAAGCTTCTGTTGGCTGCCTCTGAGAGTGTCAAGCATATGACATATTCCTCCCAAACCCCTGGAAAATTAATAAATAAATAAATAAAGTCTTCAGTTTTTTCCCTGCTGCATAACATCCAAGTAGATTTGAGCTGGAAGAACAGAAAATCAAAACGCAGTGAAATTCTGATTATTCCTTCAGTATTGTTTGAGAAATGATGGAAGACTTCAGCGCATTAATAAACCAGTTTAGACATCCGTCTGCCACAGTGGTGGAGCGCCGGAGATCAAAAGAACATTCTCATCTGCCTGACACACACTCACAGTGTTTGTTCATTAATGGCGTACTTTTAGTGTAGGTTATAACTGTACACATCGTACAACAAAGCAGTGCCATGAAGTCTCCTGTCCGCAGGGAACAGAGGGAGCAGGAAAAAAAGTCTGGTTGATTAAAGCATTCTCAGCAGCTGAGAACATCACTAACTCTGACACGGTTTGTTGTGAACTCTGAAAGGGTGGGAGGAATAAATGCACACCACCGTCTTCATTTGATTGTATTGTTCAGAATTAATCCCCCACTGATTAAATAATTCCTGATAAAAGGCGTTCTCGCTTTCAGGAGTCATGCAGTCAAAGCAGACACAGTGGGTGTGTGTTGAAGTATCAGTGCTCTGTAAAATATGCGGGATTAGCAGTTTGGGGCTGCCCATCTGTTTTGGTGACAGAAAGTGAAGGTCTAAGTACATGTATTTTAAACCAAATATGACCCATTTCAGGTTCTGAAGAAGAAGGAGGGTCCATTCTTTCCTGACAGAGGAAAGAGACAAAACCCACTGTGTTTGTCCTGATACTCTTTCCATAGGGGTGTCTCTAAAGACCTAAACTTCAACTGGAAAGCAGAAAGCGTTTGCTTACTGGTTTTGTGTTTTTAGAAAATAAATTTCCTCACCTCCAGCTTAGGAAAATCCCAGTTGTAATAAGGCTAACTGGGCAGATTCCAGATCAAATTTGTTCCTGGCATGGTGGCGTTGACTTAGTGGCAGTGCACCAGAAACGAATCTGGTCCTTTCTCTCTGTGAAAGTGAAAGTGCCTTAGCTAGTTGTTTCAGAAGCGCGCAGAGTAATATGCCTTTGGATTGTACACAGCTAATCCTCTTTATACTTTGCTGACTGTAACCTGCTTAGTCTTACATGAAATGTATTCGCCGTCTTTTTGTGAGCCTGATCCAAAGCCTGTTGAAGTCAGTGGAAAGAGTCCAGATTTTTTTCAGTAGTTTTGGAGCCGACGCTATATGAACAGCTGGTCAAGCACTGAGTCTTCTAGTTGAAAGACAAGGAAAATAAGCAGCACCAAACCGCATTGGACCCAGCGCTGTATTAAAGATATAAATGAAAGTAATGTGAAACTTGTAAAACCAGACTGGACAAAACACTCTGAAACATGCTGCAGGGAGCAGTCTAGTGCTAGCAGGGGAATAAGTTAGCTATTTTTAATGATTTCTTTTCCATAGCTTTTACTTTTCCACATATTCTGTAATGTAACAGTACTTTTTTTTCCTTAGGCAAATAGCTGCCAGACAGCAGCACTGGAATGAGAACATATGTAGTGTTTTCTTTTATCTTACATTACAAAAGAAGTACGAATACCTTGTGTTATTCCAAGTATAAAATTACAGGTGTCAAATCATTTGGTGCTTTAAGTGCTGTGCCAGAAAAGTAATCCAGTAAAAATAGCTATGTCCTGTCAAAGCCAAGCAGTTTGTATTGTTATTACAGTTCCTTACATGGCTCCAGCAGTGTAAGATGGCACAAATCAAGTGTGAGACATCAGCAAGAAACTTGCCTGAAATCGTCCAGAGCATAGAAAGACAGGAGGATGGAAACCAGATAAACTAAGGGCCCAAAATGAGAATCTGCCTGCTCTGCTTTACAGGTGGTTTGAACTTTAAAAATGCTGTTAAACAAAAGATGTTTAACATTTTAGGGGGTGATTCTTACCCAGAGATCCCAAAGAATTAAAGCAAAGAGTGTTCTGCGTTTGGTTCTGGATAAGCATGCGGTCAACCCTCTGTCCTAAGGAGTGTACCATTTAAAAAGTAGAAAATATTTAGCTGGTAAGGTGAAAGAATTTTTTCATCTCCATGTTACAGGTGAGAGCGCAAACCAGGGATTAAGATGGCTTGGCTGGGTTAGATGGTCAGCGGCTGCGTTGCCTGTCACAGGGAACCCCTAGCTGCTGTCGAGTGCTTTACAAGCAAGCCGTCCTTACCGAGCTGAATAAACCTTGAGGAAGAAGCTTGCTGTGGACCTCAACTAAGGCAGGAGGTACGAGAACAGGACGTAGCAGAGCACAACACGGAGTTTTGGTATGTGAATTTCTCCTCCATAGAGCATGAAGAGCCACACAGACTTTGTGCAGCTCCTGGAATTTAAGTTAATACTTTCATTGTCCATTCCACAAAAGCTGTGTCTGAAGAAAATCTATTGAGTAGCTTATTTCCCTGAAGGGGACAGAAGACTCACTGCATTGCATTTAATACTTTTTCCAGGCCTCCAGAGCTGCAATGAAACCTGGACAGAGATAGCCTGGTTTGCTAAACTGGAGGCACACTGGTTCTGTCAGTATAGATGTTAAGAAGCTTATTAAAGGACATAGCAGCTGACAAGTGAATCTTTAATCCCTGTCAAATCCCTTAAATTTATGATCAGTTTAAAGCAGTTCATGTAAAAAAGAAACTTTTTCTCTCATCAGTTTATGTGTGTTTCCAAATGAGATGTGTTCACCTGCATGGTGATAATCAGAACACATTTTGCTTGTAATTTTCAGGATGAATTTTGTCTGCCTTAAAAACCACTCCCCAAAAAACCAGCTCCCTTCCCCTACTTCTTGAAAACCATGGGAGTCATATTCATTGTCCACACTGGTATTTTAAGTAAGTGGCATGTAGGGTGTGGCAGGCTACATAGTATGCCACTGAACAGCAGGCCAAATCCTGATGCTGAGAGGCTGCAGTTGTGTTAAAAGGTCAGAAGTGACAAGGGCATGTAGTGCACCAGAGCTTGCCTGTCCTGGTGGAAATACGAGCATGGGGTTAATAGTCACACGTGTCGACTTACAGAAAAACTTTAATTTGGTTGTTCATTTTTTCTTTGCAAACCACGTGCTCACACTGAATGTAAATATCTCATGGTGCAACGAATAAGTCCATTTTAGGTTCCTCTTTCAAACAAGTTTCGTTCTTATTAATCTGTGAAAAGATTCTGTACCAAACCCCAGAACCAGCTATGAAGGATACGTTGGGGTTTTTTTGAATTTCTTAAAAAAAGAACACCGCAGTAGGTCAGTCAGTTAGATCAAAAGATGCATCTAGTGTACCTCGGTATGCTGTAACGTGAGCTATTTGTTCAGTAGTTAGCTCTAGTTAACTAACATGACTATTCATTCTAAAATAAGCACTCTGGCAGTGTTTGCTCCCAGGCAAATACTTGTTCTGCTACAGTTCTTTCTCAGCTCAGCTGCCTCTGATCCCCTTTGCAAGTGCCGAAGTTGTTAGCCTTTGTAGTCATGAGAGTTAATTACCACTCATTTTGTTCAGTTTTCTGCATGGCTAAAAGCTTTTATGTCCTTTACATGGTTCGGGAGTGGAAAGACTAGCCTGCGCTAAGGGACTGTTTCTTATGCAATATACGATTAATTGTTGCCAAGAAGTGGTCTGCCACATGTGTACTGGCAGGTTGGTGGCTGTGCAGCTGCGCTGCTAATTACATAGCTGGGCTGGTTGAGCGCAGCGCATCTGACAGTGGACATAGGCTCCAGGGCCCAGCAGGAGATCGAGGTTAGGTAAACTGGGCCACCTGGGAAGTGGTGGCTAGATGTGGCATCTGGGGACAGATGAGATGGATCTGCTGGGGTTTGAGGTTGGACATGTGGAGAGTACAGCTACTACCTGTGATACAGGGCAGTGAGTAAGGAGCAGAGGAAGAAATTAATAGCAGGCTAAACCAATTTCTGTAGCAACCATCTGTGCTCACCATGGTCCTTTGGTATTGGGCTGGACTGCCTTAGCTTTGGAAGTGCTTGTGGTAGTAGGAGAGGAGCATATATTATTGTTTAGCTTTCATATCAGTCCAAGAAACCTAGGTTTATCTCCCAACCCAAAAGCACTGTCCCCACCAAAGCGGATATTCAAACACAGTGCTCTTTAGAGGTTGTGGCCTGCAGTAGCAGGAAGCTTAGCAGAGACCACATACTTTCAGCGTCTCTAATCTCTGGGGTTTTTTACTTGAATTGTGTTTTTCCTTTTCAGCTAAATAAACCATAGCGAAAAGCCATTCACTGTGTGCTAAGATATTCTCAAGTGCTCTCGTTTCCAAGGGTGACTTTACTGGGGGCAGCGATGCAGTCTCAGAACAGAGTTCTTGCATGTCCCAGTTACAGATTTACTTCCCATGCTGCTGACAGCTTGATTTGTGAAAGAAAAAAGGACAAAATAGCAAAACAAAACCCAACCCACAGCCTGTGCAAGAGAGAAAAACACAGACTTGCTGTGCTACAGAGGAAGTGTCAAGCACAAACATTTCAAAGGAGGAAAGCTTCTAGTCTTCATGTACATGATAAAAATCCTTTTACAAGAATAAGTCACATAACTGTAACTATTTTTAAGCTTTAAAAGTTTCCTGTTTAATACCTGTGGGATAAGTCTGTGCAGCTAGCTGGAGGCCAATTTTAACCTTAGACCATTGACCTGAGGTTTGGTACAGAGGTGGCCATTGTTTTTTTTCCTGCTTTGAAATAAGGGATATCTGGGAAACCTCTAGCACACCCACCACCACCACCCCCCAAAAAAATCACGACTAACTGTGCAAGACCTGTTTACTTAGCTGCCTAGTTTTGCAAAGCAGCCAGATATTTAAAATCTTGCTTAATTAAGCAGATGTCAGACTTAGAAACCTACCATGATGCTTTTATACTGAATCTGGTAGATACTAGGAGGACATTAAGTGCATGTGTAATTCCAGAGCTGTTTCATACTGGTTTGAGACTAACCAGTAGTTGTGGAAAGAAAAGGCTGAACTGGGGTGTTGAACAAACACTTTTATTTCTAAAGCAAAGTCTCATGGCAATGCACTGCAGGGCTCATGATTCATAAAGCGGGTCAAGCACTGAAGGGAGCTGTGTCTTGATTTGCAGCTTATAAAAACAGGAGTTTGCTAATAAATGCATTCGTCAGAATTACAGCCCGGCACATTCTTAAAAGTGGAGTTCATGGCTTTCTCTTGAACAGTAGCCCCCTATGATTTCTGCATACTGTGCTTACATGATAGGTGAGACTGCTTCCTCCTGGCCACTTAGTTATGTCACCGTTAAATGGGGAAAAAGAATTGGGATGACGCAGTCTAAATGGGGTAAATCAAACAGCAGAGCACTGCCATTGATGAAACAAACTTGCTTTAAATGCATTCTCTAGTTAGTCTGAGTCATCGGTCTTCAAATATGTTTATTCTCTTCTTCCTCCTCCATCTTTCCTTAAACTGTATTACAAAGCAGTGCTTTGACTGGAAGCTGGGGGGCATTACGGAGGTGCTCCTGAGAGCAGGCAGTGATGGAGGCTGTGGGGAGGGACTGAGCCAACGTACTGAGAAAGACACCAGAGCCCATGTTGCAAGAGCTGCTTGAGCCAAGTGTTGCTTCTTAAGGCAGGCTCTGGAAGGACATACCCAGCCATGGGTAAGCCATGCATTAGTTTGGCAACTCCCTGGTGCCTGATCCCTGTACTGCCTGGTCTACCTCCCCTCCCTGGAGTTGCCCTTGTTGCTTCCTCCTGATGCAGGCTTTGGTCTTAGGGAGTCCTAGTCTGGGTGTTCCTCTCCCTGTCATCTCCCCATCCTCAATGCTGGGAATTTCAGTTTTAAATCCAGAATCTTGAGAGGAAAACATAATCCCTGGTTACAAAATGGAATGAGTCAAATGTACCTTTAAATTGCCACATGTATTTCTGGCAAGAGGATCTGAGACCTGCAGATCAGAGCCAAGTGTGGCAAATAGTGACCATCCACAGAAACCAAACTGAATACGGCCACCCAAATGGTTATATTTTAAAACTAAGCAGTACAGGTGAGCAGATATATTTTGGTAAGGCTTAAGAGAGACACAGAGGAATTGATTTTCCAGAAATACTAAACTATGAAGCGTTGCTTAGTTGCTCACAGTGCACAGCTTCTCCTAAACTCATCCAAATATACAGTTTTGAGGATGTGCTTCTAGTACATGTTGAGCTCAGGAATTTGCCCTTGCCAATTTAATTCCCTTATCAGAACATGTCAAAAGTTTTCTTCTCTTAGCATGTCTGTATGTGCATGTGCGTTTGTATATGTATCCACATGTGTGTATCCCATTATTAACATTTAGCATTAACTGTAGGCATCAGGGATGAAAAGGACTGTAAAATTTCCATGCCATCTGCCCAAACAGCAGACTGTCTTCAGAAAGAATATGCAGATGTTTATGAAAGCTAGACTGGTTGATGAGAATGATGACATCTCTGTGTGACGGAAAATACTAATTTGTCAACTGGCAAACTTTTCTGAAGAAATTTCTGCTACCTGATACGCTGTCTTTCAAGTGTAGGATTCCAGTTTTCTGCTTTGCAAGAACTGTGATAGAACAGCATGTAGATTGAGCAAAACAAAGTTAATGGTATGACAAAATGGTTTGATATGTTGTCCTAATTCAAGAGAGGATTTCTTGCTCTTCCACAGAAGTAGAGTGGTCAGCATGGTCTAAGGCTGCAGCAAGCCCAGTTTCAATGGCAGCAGCTGTGTCACTGGTTTTGCTCTTCCACGAGAACCATGGGGCAACAACAACATCAGGGACAGCGTTAGGATGGCAAATTTGTAGATGAAAGAATACAAATTTGATTACAGTATTGGTTATGCTGTTAGTCAAGTTCAGCCAATTGCATTTATGTTGAGCAACCCTCAGAGCCTGCTGGAGCCAGTGGGAGTTTTGCCATCAGCTTCCCTGGGGGGTAGGATTTTGCTCATTGTTTAAATTAGCCGTATCTTCACGGCAGCATATGGGAGGAAAGGCAAAGGTTTTTGAATTGAAGGAACCAGTAAGCAGCTTTATGCATTTACTTTGTTACACAGGTAAAAGCTGAGACAGCAATACCCATCTGCTAGACCTTCAACACATCTCTGTAAAACCCGTGTTAGAGTCAGAGCATTCTTTTCTATTTTATTTATGGCCCTGGCTGCCTGAATGAGTGCATCTGGAGCTCAGATGCCTTATGCCCTTATTGTAAATTAGTTAACTTGAAAAACTGCACACACTGTCAGATCTTTGCTGTGGAAATGCCAGGCTCTGTAGTTGAGGTGCCTTTGTGTGTGCGTATGTTTTTTACGTGAAAAGGCTGTTGAACTTTATGCATAAACACTGTTCTCTGTCTCTTTTTTTTTTTTTTTTTTTTTTCCCTTTCCTCTTTTGTTACAGACTGTGGACTAGAATTGAGTATTCAGGGAAAGCTCCCCAGAGAGATTAGGGGCATGGACAGATTTTAAACAGGGCCTTAATGCATGGACACGAAAGGACAAATGTTCTAGTGGGAATACTGATGCAAATGCCCTGCTTTTGGGTCAAAATGCATTAAACAGCTGCTTGCATACTAAAGATGCTTTTAATATCAATACAGACCGGAAATTATAAATTTATAAATAGAGATCTTGCTATTTCCTCAGTGTAGTAGCCAAAGAGTGTGAAAGTGCTTCACTGACCCCCTTTGTTATGAAGCATGCAACACTGTCAAGCACCAGTGTTAGAGAGAAGTGCATCTATGAA